ATCGATGACCAGTTGAGGGGAACTAATTCCCAAAATAAGGGTGATTTTAGCTTATTTTTAACTATTTGACCGTGATATTTGTGGGCGACGGGAGAGTAATTTTTTTGGGGGGTGTGCGCCCCCCCCCGCGCACTCACTAGATACGCCATTGCATACTTTATCGTGGCTCCTCGACGGCCGGACCAGGGCTCCCCGACGGCTGGGTTCGGGTCCAGCCGACCCACCCACTGGCGCCACCCCTCAAGCAGACACTGAATAGGCCTATTTTAAAATGAATGTATCTTTACTATACAAATAAAGAGGAAAATATATGAATAATAAATAATGTGATAATGATCTTCGTTAATTAATTTGAAGGTTTATTAGATTAATTATTGATTTACAGTCATTTTGGATAATAGTACAATAACGATAAGGATTATATAATAACATATCACCTTCCATCGGTGTAGCAGGTGACTCAGTAGCATGCAATAAAGTGGCATGCGACTTAGTTTTAAGAGGGAGAGGAGGAACATGCGTCGCATCCGGGACAGAGAGAGGTCCATTTACATGCTTGTTGACATCACCTTGTATAGTAATTTCTGTGATGGGGTTCGGTGATTCGGTTCCGTCTCGCTCTACGACAATCTCCTCGGGGGGTTGTCGTTTACCCTTCTGTCGTTGGAGTCCTTTGTTCTTTTGTTTCCTATTCTTTGATGTCCCCGACGCGGAGATAGTCAGTGTAGTATTCCCATCATCATGAAAACCGGTATTGTTGTCGGCTATTGCACTCTCTTTGTTACCCATATTTATGATTTAGTAACGTTTCCCACTGAGAAAAAGAATGTTATATTTTATTCATAAATAATAATAATAATAATAATAATAATAATATAGAAAGAGTTATTTTATCTCAATAAAAACAACAGTGCTCATTAAGTTGTTATTGGCTAAAATATTGCAGATTGATAGCCAATCGTGGTTTAGTTGTACTTGTTTGAAAACTGAAGTTTCATGTTCAAACTCTAAGATACTCCAGTGATATACCCTCAGAAGAAATTAAACTATACTGAGATGATCTGGTGATGATCCGGGTCACTAGCACTAGGCCTATGTGTCGTACGACCGTCGTATACGACGAATAACTCCGCTATTATGAGCCCTAGAAGACGCAGAAATTCGTAGAGAGCAATGATGTGCACTTTTTTAGGTTTTAGAAGTTGGGCTGCTGCCAGGGGCTGCGCCAGTGGGAGGGCCGGGGGCAGGGCCCCGTCGGGGAGAAAAAACAGTCTGTTGGGGAGGGAAAAAATGCATATGTATTTTCTACATTTTTATAAAAGCGATTAAATAAGCATTTGAGTCTCCAGACTTCTCCAACACACAGCATGCTGAGCATACATGCAAAGATAATACTACTCATGAATGGGGTAAAAATGTCATTTATTTATAATAGCCAGTAAATGGCGAAGATAAATACAAACTAAAGTTATACACAAATTGGTGGTCAGCGATATATCACTATACGCATAGACTAATAATTGACGGCTGTACTCGCAACTAGTATAGGATTGTCGATGCCACAGTAAAGATCAAAGGACTGTACGCACGCGCTATGTTCGAGAGCGGAGATGTGCGTCCTTTTGTTGAATTACCTTGGTTAGAAGTTGGGCTGCTGCCAGGGGCTGCGCCAATGGGAGGGCCGGGGGCAGGGCCCCGTCGGGGAGAAAAAACAGTCTGTTGGGGAGGAAAAAAATGCATATGTATTTTCTACATTTTTATAAAAGCGATTAAATAAGCATTTGAGTCTCCAGACTTCTCCAACACACAGCATGCTGAGCATACATGCAAAGATAATACTACTCATGAATGGGGTAAAAATGTCATTTATTTATAATAGCCAGTAAATGGCGAAGATAAATACAAACTAAAGTTATACACAAATTGGTGGTCAGCGATATATCACTATATTAATGTTGCTTTAAATATTGGCTGAAACCCCAATGTTATCTAAATTATAAGTATGACATAAAGTATACAAAATATATAACTTAATAAAAGTAAAATTTTAAAATATAATTGATAGAATAGAATATTAGGTAATATGTGCGCTCAAAAGTCTGGGTGTAAGACGCCTCAGGGGTGTCAGATGAATGAAGTCAAACTCCGTAGTCAGCTATATCATAAAGAAATAACATAACAAATGAGAAGCAGCTCATGCTGTACTCCACTGGACGGGATATAGATAAACTCACATACTATCGGAGTGTGTTACCTGGCGTGTGGATATTCACACTTCGTTGAAACCCCGGATTGTCATTTTTTGCAGGGACTTCGCCTCCTGGATAACTTTTAAGAAATTTTGAATGACGCCCGACAATGCCCACTTTCTCTCGTCGAGGGCACCCCATCCCCTCGTCGGGGATATCCTCCCCCTCCACCGTCGGGCAAATCCCGAATTTTCCGAAAAATTTTCTGAAGTTCTCAATTTTTTTGGTAATAATGCATTAAAAAACTGTTACAATAGTCAATAATCATAATATTATTATTATTATAATTTCAGCCAATACGGTATCATCGTTGAAATGATTAATAAACACCAATATATACGATATACGTGTCGGTAATAGGCTATCTATATAGTATTTTCATTCGTCGAGAGGCGTAGGCTTCAATCTGTCTAGTCTATATTAATAGGGCTACGTATATGCCTTTCATTTTAGAAGCAAAGAATATCCACAAATAGCGACCTTCTAATGCCGGAAAGTGTGTCATATCCTACTCTACATACGACTTATTAAAACTATTAGGTAATTTAGTGATTTATTTTATGCATAATAAACTTTAGTTTGTAGAAGAAGCGTCGGTTGTAATTTCAAATTAAGTAATCCAGTTACTTTATCTTATTTTGTTCAAAAACCTGGTATGAAATTACAAATATACCATCTGCGGAATTTTAGAACAAAAATTTATATCTGTTATAGCACGTTTACAGAATAATGAAATACAAACTCACTTAAATTGAAAACTTTCTATTTAGATCTAACGCTCGATGTTATGTGTAAAACTACTATTTTTGAATACTGTATATAATTTGAAGTGTTCCATTCTACAAGCTGCTAGGTAATTATGATAGAACGGGTTGGAACAAACCGAGTTAGTTGTGACAACACGTTGAATACATTTTATAAAGAGATTATAGTTAAACATTCATTCAGTAGTATAATTCTTTAAAAAAATGTTGTAAACATGAACACTGATTTACCATGTTCAACTCATGAAGCTACGGCAATTATTAAGGGCACCGAGTTTCTTTAGGCGGGTTAGCTAGGGAAGTGAAATTGCTTGTGAGTAAAAAGCTGCAGTGGGTGTAAAACAAAACTTATGACTTGTTGAGATGGAAACCAACTATTTTATTGGTTAAAAGCGAAGATTGTTTATTCATTTTTGCGGTAAATTAATGTTCTACCTAACTTCAACTAGTTAGAAAAAGCCCAAAAGTTCCATTTCGCTATAAAACCCGACTCGGCTACTACATGGATGATGTTCAGTTCGTGTTTGTATCCTGTCACAACCACAAACTTGCCCAAATTTTATAGGTTGAGGGTGAAGATTGTCTATGCATTTCACGGCAAATTTGCGTTGAACGGTCACTAGTAAGAGAACGCAAATTAAATTGCTTTAACTTAATAGTTTACTTACCAGTCTAATAGTTATTATATTAGTCTATTTATCAGTTAATCAATTATCAGTCTATTTATATATGAAATATGTATAATTACGTCATGTTTTACAAGGTGTATCTTTGCTATGGGGTTTGTTTAGACCAAATTGAAAGAAGATCCAAAGCACAGAATGTAATACAAAAGTTAGTCCAACAATAGGGTAACATGGTAGAAGAAGAAACTATGTCTGTAGAACATAACATAGGCCTAGGAGTTTTTTCATTGAAATAATGAAAAATGATGTTTAAAAAATACGTGAAAATGATGATACCAAGTCTCAAAATGCAATCTCAATGGTATACGAATGAGGGTAAAGTGAAGAGTTCTAACCATTGCGCTATAGAACCCAAATGTGAAAGTGGCCAGTGGATTTACAGGTTTGTATGCTGTCACTACGTTGGGTTGACATAATAGTTTGATTACAAGTTTTTTTTATTATAACAATTTATAAAATTCCTTTATGTTATTAGGCACGTCTTGATATATGTGCTTGGATTGGACCAAGTTTGAGGACGATCGAAGCACGGAAAGTGACAAGATCTGACAGGTAGGAAATTATGTGATAGAAGAAGGAAAAGATAATCGCGGCTTTATCGCTCCGCTGGCCAGGGAAGCAAAAAGAAATATTACAAAAATGATGGTATTTCCACTCCGCTAGGGCGGTTAGAGGGCAGGAAAGGCCAATAATAATTATAATAATAATGATAATAATAATAATAATAATAATAATAATAATAATAATAATAATAATAATAATAATAATAAAAATAATATAATAATAATAACAATAATAATAATAATAATAATAATAATAATAATAATAATAATAATAATGTAATAGACATGATGAAAATAGTGATATAATTATTACAATCACTGTTAGAACTGTAACAATGTTATCCCTATAATAATCTAGTTGCAAACATCGCTGGTCATCGATCGACACTGACATTTTTCAACTTTTTGTCCGCTGAAGTTCAGTAGTTCAGATTTACAAATAATGAAAACATAGGCTTACTTGTTTAATATATATAATGTTGCAGTTTATTAGATTATTTACGGAAGTGAAACAAAAATGTGTCTATTTTTCCACGTTGTATTTATACATATATTTGCTGATTAGCCGATTAGATATTTTCCTACAAGTGGTAGAGAGACTTTTGGTATCGATTTGTAATATCTAATAAAATGTACCGTATCTATTTTCATTAGTTAATTACCACCCCCATCTAACCTGGCCGTCTAGGCCTAGGCTACTTTAGGTTACTCAGCTAACGACGTATGAGGGCTAGAAGTGCCAGCAAATTACAAAAGTGTGCATTATAATCTTGTCCACGAGGAGTCAGATTATTTCAAGTTGGATACGACCTATTGTGTGGAAGCTCATATATTTATGTCAAAAATTATGGCTAAAAATTAAAAATTATTTAAACCAAGATTTGTTGTACAAATACTAAAGACCAATTAAAGCAATGACTGCATTTATACGTTTCTTTATATTATATTTATGATTACTTGTTAAATTCATTTGTAAATATAGGGCTATAGGTTAATTTTAAATATGGCAAACGCAATGCATGGTGGGTAAAGGTACAGAATATCAAAGTAAAATAGCGTGTTTGTTGTATGAGTAAGCACTCGTCAATTACAAGTAAGTGGATTTTGAGGAAATGGAATCGGGTGCCAATTACCATAAAAATAACCCTTTTGCGCCTGATGTTGAAAAATTAACATAATACCATACGCAATATGTACGTAGATATCAGTCTTAACTTTGCCATAGAACAACACGGAAGCCTGTACGTAACTTTGATGTTACTTTCTCGGACCCATTGTGCTATGTCTTAAGCTAAAAACAAATCAATATCTGAATTGCCTACCTTGTATAATTAAAATTTATTAGCCTATAATTAAATATCGAAATAAGCAAATTATAATAAAAGGGACGCCTACGTAATACAGTTTTTTTTTTATATATATATGATTATTTCTCGATTTGACCTTTATTGAGCTGCTAATTAACTGAATGAAGTTTGAGATAAAGTGACTATATCTTCGACAACTTGTTTGTTTCTATCAATATGTCATTAGAGGTTAATAACTTAAGTGGTTCTATAAATAGGTAGACAATGTTTTCTTGAATGGTGTTTTTAAGGTGGTATGCCTGTAAAAGGTACATGATCGTTACATATTTATGAAAAAATGTTCTTGAAAACTAATAAAAAAGTTTGAGCTTTAGGCGTGATTACAGTTGAGTCAAGCAAGAAAGGAAGCACAGAGCAAGTATCAAACCGCTGCATAATAAGTTAGCTTCCTGTTCTCGTTCAAACAATTAAATCTAACATACATACTGCATATAAAATACTAAATATACTACAAAATCATGTTATAAAAGTTACCGTAATTACCAAAATAATATAAAAATAAATCTAATTTAATAACAAAAGTTACGATGTTAGATCAGTCTAATATCAGACCTATGTCATAGATTTCAACACTTACCTTAGAAATGTATATCAGAAAATATCCAATATTGACGGTTATTCTATAGTCACTTTGAAAATAACTAGTTTCCACAGATTATTATTCATAAAGCAGTGTTTTCGATAGTGAACAGTCAGTAATTCTTTAGTACTAAGCATGTTATCGTTCTAGTATGGCTGCCATATCGGTTGGTGGCAATAACTCTCGCATTTGTTTCACAAGCAAAAAAGAAAATCGGGACACACTGCTTCCGGGTGACGTGACGTCAGCACATGACCCTGTGTGACTTTCAGAGTTTCTATCTTCAAGACATTCTATTAGATTTAATTAGTTTTATGGATAATTTTTTTGTGTAATGCTTTAAGCATTACAAAAGAAAGTAGAGTAATACTCGTGAAGTTATTTGAGAACCTAAAATTTATAGGCTTATTACATAATTCGAGTTTAAATAAACTGATCAGTCTTATTTTGAGTATAACTAGGACATTCTGTCAAGCCTATGATAGCCGCAGTGTAGTGAAACACATTGTAAGATCTCTATGCAGTTTAAAAACAACAGTGCGGTGAAACTCATTGTAAAAGTCTTTGCAGTTTAAAAAAAATAGTTCATTTATATTGAAAAAAAAGTAATGAAAGTGGGTACAAACCAAAATGTGAAAGAAAAAAAAACCTTTAAATTACATCATGGCCTATTGTCCGTATCTTACTTTCCTAATCATATTACATGTAATTATGTTCATTTAAACTATTCCGATTTTTTTTTTAACGAGCAGAATCTGGAAAATGATAACACTAATGAGAATCATATAATAATTATAATCATAATAGTAATGATAATGGTAATGGTGATAATACTGACAATGATAATACATTATGATGATGATAATGACATTGATAATAATAATGATTATATTTACTTTTCCACTGAGAAGGCTGATAATTTATAAGCTTTGGCTGCTCGAATAATTTGAATCACGATTTCCATCTATTTTCATCGTTTCAGAGTTCGGTGTCTTGTAACCCCTCTAATACCTCAGCATGATAATCAAGCTGCTGCCGATTCTATTTTTTTGAATCCTAAAAGAATGCATTATGAATCAAATAATTCTTATATATAACAATAACCTTATTTTGAAGTCTCATATTATAAGGAATTTAACTTACTTCATTTTACGCATCTACTAGTTGGGCTTATGAAACTTCAGACAAACATTGAGGGCGCTAGTTAAACCACTCCATTTTTTAAAGTTTAGTGTAGGATCGATATTCAGTAGTTAATTATAATAATAGACAATAATGTAAGTACACCAAAAGCTAAAAAGCTGTTGGTATTGCTAAAAAAAGTTCTACCCCATACTCTACGTGACTGTTTATAATTTTGTAATGCGACTTGGTAGTTTTATATCTGCTCTGATTTTGTAATTCAATTCAACAATTCTGTTCATAGTATAGAAAGATTTCCCCCTTTTCAAATAATTTGACAACGTTCTTTACTTCACAAAATGATATGGTCAGAAACCATACAAATGAATAATCACAAAAACGAATGTGTAGCTTAAAACTCTGTAAAATTTATATTGTACATTCATTAATTCTTTCATTAGTATATATATTTCCAACTTTTCTTTCTTCAGACATACAGTAATATCATAAACATAATATTTCATTACATGTTGATAAACATTACAAATCAATGTTAACATAATAAAATAAAAAATTAAAGAAAAGAAGGAAAGGGGGTATTTCTGAAATACATCTTATTACATGAAAAACCCACTGATACAAAAACAGTAATTTAATATAAATATACAGGTACACGGCACACAATAAACATAGTAATTTTTTTAATATATAAAATTAAAATTTCACTTAAGATCAAACAAATTTGTGATTTCTAAAATATATAATAAATATCAATGCCAATGGTTCTTCTAAAACATTGAATATTTTTTTAATGTACTGTAAATCTGAATAAACTTTCTTACTAAAGTAAGACAATTAATTTACCCAAAATGCAGCGTCAGATATCATACACACAACATATTGATAAGCTCTGCGCAGGATAAGATGTTTCCATTATGTTCTTTATTTGAGCGCGGTTACTACCATCATTTGAATATTTACAGAAGCGGATCCGGGATTTGAAAGAGGGGGTGGGGGTTCAAGACGTTTCCAAAAACACCCAAAATGAAAGAGGGGGGGGGGTCCTCCCCATGGAAAATTTTGATTCCTATATGGCCGGAAATGAGCTTTCCAGACTTCTGAGGAGTCTCTCTTAAAATAGGTCAGGTAAATTTTATCTTTAGACAAATACATAGAGAAAAAAAAATCAAAGACATAGGCAATATATTATTATATAACAATGTATATATTCCAACAATATTGAGTAGTTGGATACGTAGTCTTTTGTCCATAGATCGGTGAACCCATAGACCTGACGAACTTTCACTTGCACTTTCGTACATAAATTATTAAAATGGTTTTGAAATATTTAAGGGGGACCGTGCCGGGGTTCCCCTTGAATCCACCACTGTATTGGGGAATCCTCTAACACTCAGATAACCTAGGGTTTTAAAAAAAAATACCGTATATAGGCCTACTCGCGTATAGGACGAGGCTTAAAATAGCACATTACGATCGAAAAAAGCGAGTCGTCTTATACACACGACATTCAAATTTTAGATTTTATAATCATGTTCGTCTTATGTGCGGATCGTCCGTAACACGTGAACTTACTACTGTAATGAAGCAACTAAATGTTGTATGAATGAACGCAATTTTAAATACAGGAAAATACGATTTTAAGTAGTGAAGATTTTAAAACTCATAAAATGGTATTATTTGGAAGGTTACCCTTGCATTTGGCTCCATTTATCCAGCTAGATGCAGTATCAGGACCACAAAAAATTAGGAATTCCGACAATGAAACAGGGGGTCCTCTTATACGCCCGACATACACATATCAACCAAAAATCTTCTAAAACTCGGGGGTCGTCTTATACGCGGGTCACCTTAGGGACCTACGCGAGTATATACGGTATTGCTTATTACAGAATTTCTATAAAAATATAAATGAACATATTCTTGAGAGATAGGACTTAATGGTTGTTGTACAAGATTACTCAGACACGTTTTGAATATCAACTATAAACAACATATTATGTATGGAGATATTTCCCCCCGTATATCAAGAACTTGGAGGGCATGAAGGTTAGCATGTGCTGGACATTACTACAGAAGTAAAAATGAAGTTTTTTCAATAGTTCTCTTTTGGGAATCAACCCATGGGAAAAATAAGCCAGGACGGCCCCGACTACACACACCGAACAATTAGAAAAGGATCTACTGTAAACACACAGTGGCAGTACATTCAGTAGTAGGGCCTGGGCCCTGTGGTTTTCTGAGAGTGGCTTTTTCCGGTCCCGGTCGCTAATTCCATTTGTGGGGTTTAGATGTGTTTTTTTAAACATGTTTGCCATTTAATATATTATAAATGTTTTTAACGACGAAAAAATCCTGCATCCGTCCCAGCATCCACAGGAATATCTATTAAACGATGAAGGCATAAACAGTTGACTGGTACTTCTAAAAACATATTGGTACATTTATAAGGTCATTTTAATTGAGATATGTAATAATTTGATCTTGGTTGGACCTTTAAACAATTTTGGCTACGTGGCATATTTCTGAGATTGGTGTGTAATTGATCAAATAGTTTCATCTGGTTTTGTGATTAATAATCCAATTACTTGTTTTTATTTATAATAAACCATTTTTTATTGATGTACTTACTTTGGTGTGTAATTGTTAGGGCTTTACCTTTGTATATTAGGGTAGTCATGGAGACTTTCCAATCGTTTAGAAATATATCATTCATTAACGATTTATTTATAATTGGGATCTAGGCTGGGGAAACCAGCCTACTTCTTTTTAATTGAACATAGATATTTCGCGATATACCGTGATGCATGTTAATTTTATAGCCTAGTATCAACATTAAGAACATTTTTAGATAAGCATGCCATTTTTTTCAATATCGCCAGTTACAAGTGTAAAATTTAGTGTGTGAATACAATTTTGGGTTTTCCATTCGGTTGTGTGTGTCTTCTTTCATTGTGTTTGAAATGTCTGTTCCTATATATTACTAAAATAATCGCTAAAATTTTCGCAATCAAGATTTGGATAAATAGTGTTTGGGATTTTAATTTTCGTGCATTTGTTTTTAAGTGAACGATTATTAAAAGGTGTTTATCGATAAGTGGTTAACATGATCAGACTCATACATAATCAATGAAATCAGGTGTGATCCATTTTATTTTATCTAGCTTAAGTAAATAAAACTAATATACAAGATAATTGTTGACATTGTTCAATTGGTTAGTATAATCTGATAAAAAAACATCAATTCAATAAATATCGCCAATGTGCTTTTTCTTTTGGTCATAAGAAGTAGAAATGCTTATTATTATGGTCAGTCCAACCGATAGCCGGCTCTTCAAAGATGCCCTCTGAAAACATCTAAAAATAAAATTAAAAAAATCCAAAATATTATATAAATGGGAAGGACCCCTGCTCCAGAACCAATTCATCCGTGGTACACATCTTAGTTGACATAGTTGAACCTTGGGCCCCTCACAACCTAGTTACGTCACTGCTACCTATTAGGTCCAATAAAGGTAATTCAACAGAATGTGGCCTGAAGTGGTAAGTCAAGCCAGCACATGACTGACGCTGCGCGTCTTAAACTGCGGTGGTGGACCTTTCCAATCGTTCGACACTATTTCTACCCCTCCTGTTATACTCAGTGATGGCGCCAGGACCTGCCCGACGGAGGGGCTAAAGGCCCCGACGAGGGGAGAAGGTAGTGGAGCGAATCGAGTCTCACTTGGCTGGGGCCAGGGGCCGCCTAGGGCCACGATGGGGGAAGCCACGGATATTTGATGAATTATGGCGAATTTTTATTACTTAGGCCTATTTGATAGGCATCGAGTTACTATAATATGACTTCATGTAGGCTACGGTATGTTTTTCTAATGTCGAAATCAGCTTTCAGAACCAAAACATTTTGAATAAAACAAGAGACAAAGAGTATGCAATGTAACCATCTAATTTATTTTCAAATCCTCGTTCTTGAAAGTGAAATTCTATATTTTGGAAATTTTTCATGAAATCTGTCAACCACGCTGTCATGGTCGAGGTTGCTTCACCTATCACGATGTATTCCAAGCATCATGAGGCTATCCAAACGAGCATTTGTCATAACAAAACGCAAATTATTTTTAATTAGTCTAATTGAATTATTATTATTATTATTATTATTATTATTATTGTTATTATTATTATTATTGTGGTAAAAAGTTAACACAAATAGTTTAATGAAAACAATATGGTGGCTAAACGAACATTACATGTGAATATTTTTTCTTATTTGTTTATTCCCGACAAAATTTACTCGTCTTCCCAAACGGGGGACTATGCTTCCCCGACGGGGTGGGGGACTATGCTTCCCCGACGGGGGATATATCAACCAGTCCCCCTCTGGCGCCACCACTGGTTATACTTCTACACTTTTGGAGTCCTTAGGAGGTCGGCTTTACCCACCAGAACCAGAACCAGAACGGTGCTACGCAGTAATATTGATTCTGTAAATATATGTTACCTCATTAATACAGCTGCGACTTGAGTACTCTCTTATTTGAGCCCCATTTTCTGTTGGCGTATATCAGTAGTTGTTTGGAGATGCGTTCTGGATGAGGTGAGGTTCGAGTCCCGCCAGAGGCATTTTATTACACAATTTCTTTATTCATTTATTTACAGGACTACATTCGTTGAGAGCTATGCTACACGACTGTCTCTTATACACATCTAGATGTGTATAAGAGACAGGAATAATACCGATAATAATAATAATAATAATAATAATAATAATAATAATAATAATAATAATAAGTTAATTTATATAAAATGTAAAATATTTCCACAACTGACGGTTCATTAGTTTCATTTCATTTGTTTGTAGAAACAAGCACAAATTAATATGAAACAGAAACACTCCCATCCAAAAGCAAACTGAATCACTGTCCAATGAGAGCCTTTTACACAAACAGTAGTGAAAGTAGTATAAGTAAAATTTAATTAATATTCAATGATAGTTGATGATTATAATTAAATTTTCTTTGTAACATATGATGTTTTGTAATCTTGCTAACAGTGTTAACACTTTCCTTACAAACTGTTTCCCAGTCGCATCGTTCCTTTAATAAAGTGAACACAGAATTAGCTTAGCGCTTATCATACACTCGCTGCAGTTTAAGCTGATTACTACATTCATAATTCGATATGTAAATATTTAAAGGCGCCTTGTTTAATTAGAAATTTAAGTGTTATCAACACTAATCGAATTTCACGTTAAGAGCACGCGAAACACGTATAGTTGCACCGTGCTACAAGACGCTGTTATATATTTCACACAAATTGGATTTCTTAAACTTGTGGTTACCATTACTTGACATGCATATTTTCTGTTCTCTAGCCAAGTTTATAGCCTAATATTTTATTAATTGTGGGTTATTATTTTACTGTATACATGGTATTATATATTACTCTCTTTCATTATATTGTGCAATGTATTTTTTTTTTATTTTAACCGTAAAGGATTCATTACCTTATACGATTCATCGAGGTTGTGTTCTAACTTCATCACTTATTTATTTATTTATTTATTTTTATTATTATTATTATTATTATTATTATTATTATTATTATTATTATCTATTTTACTATTTTGGAAATAATAGAAATTGAATTGATTTGGAAAAAAAGTTTGTGATATAATGAACAACCTAACTTACACACGTAAATACACTGACGCAAACAAAAATATAACTTTCTTTTTTTTTACATAGAGGTTTCTATTGTGGCCGTCTCTTGTTATTGCTGTCAAGATCATCATAATTCCAAGTAAACTATACCAAATTGATTGGAAATTGAAATTGAGAATTTTGCCGCCTTAATGGTTAGCTAATGCTCTAAAGGATACTGGCCGCAAAACTTTTTGACAAAATGGTAGGTATGTTTAGGTATGCACGAGGGTCTCGACCTGCGAACTACGCTACGATTTTAAGGCTAGCAAGGTTTACGAAGAATCACTTAATTTCAAAGCATACAATGCTAGGAGAATTATAGGATAAGTAAATAAACATACGATGAACAATCGTATTCTTTCCTTTGCCATTTATTTCTCACGTTAACATTCGGAGGTTATTTTAGCAAACATAACATTACCTTTTCTTATACTTTCACACTGATCGCATAGTAACGTTTTCAATTGTAGGCCTATACCCAAGTTATGTCACGTGACCGGCTGTAAATAAACATCGCCGACTCGGTCTATTGGATTTGGGTTGTGGTTGTTTAGCGCACGTCAGAGACAATTTACAATAATATTCGCTTTATAAGTGTATTGCCATTTGAAAGTTTTATGTTATTGCTATACCAAACATTGCGGAAGCGGACAACCAATGAAAGGCATTCGTTCGTCAAAATAGTCTACACGTATGTCACGTGATAGTTTGCAAGCTTAGATGAGTATTCGGTTAACTTAAAACTTAAATGCATCTTCTATCGATTCTCGTTCGCACGGCGACAGAGGGATCTGTCAGTAGGAACCGTAACATCTTAGTACATTAATTAGCAAGGCATTCGTTTCCGGGATCCGATCCATGATCAAGCAAGGCTCTTTAGAGTTCAGCCTAACAACTTTTTCCACTTTGGATAAGCGATTGCCCAAGGCATGATATTGAACGGACAACGCTTGACAGGTAAACCGAGATTTCTCTAAATTTCTTAGGAGATATCACCTACCTGAATCTAAACCTTTCTGCTGTTTAATTTCTAGCATCTAATGTGCTGAGTGGATTTCTTGATCAAGACTGAGGACGGACGTAAAACCATGTCTTTCTCAATGGATTTGCGGTTTTTCAGACGTATTTTACCGTCTTACTCTGATGAGGAGACGGTAAACTTTGCTAAGGCCGATCAAATCGAGATGATGACGCAAAAAGTAAATGGCACTGCCGATATGAAACACTCTGAACCGGACACACCAAACGGGCACCTTCCAAGCTATGATTCTGGTGTTAGCTTAGGGCAGTCAACATCCAATACCGGAACCCCCGTACGCAAACCAATTTCAACGTGGGACGCAGGATGGAACGTAACAAATGCAATACAGGTAGGTAAACTACGAGACTATTGGTATGGAAATAGGGCTACTGATACCATACCAATAATGATTCTGATTACCATCATGATGATGACGATGACGGGGATGATGATGATTCACTCATTCCGTATTTTTTAACCAAAATATGGCGGTGGTTATCCGATGAAGCACTGATGTATTATAAAGAAGTTCATAAGGCCATTGATTGGTATGTTGGTGTTGTTGATGATGATGATGATGACGATGATGATGATGACGATGATGATGATGATGACGTTGATGACAAGGATGATGACTATATTAATGATGATAGTGGCGATGTTGATGGGGATGCTTATGATAAGGATGCTGCTATTGATGCTGAATATAGTGGTAGGAAAAGAAAACTAATAAGTGAGAGTCAAGAGCTAAACATATTTTATTGTCAATATTGCTATAAAATTAAAAGTGAAAGGTAAAGGTAGGAGAATAATTCATTAACTTGTAGCGTCATTTGATGCGTATGAACGTGGTCCGTGACTACCTAGCAGCCGTAAAGAGGCGCTTATCTACAAGTTCACATCATTCCACGACATGGGAATGAACCATAACATCGGGGTAACCCCTTACTCTTCCAAAAGATGCTATGGTTCTTTGAAGTGCACACGATCCAGATGTATACACTGGGCCTCCATTTTAAGTCCTTATCAGAGAAAACTTGGTTCTATCAACCGTTAGTTCTATCAACCGAACCCAGGGTAATAAGGAGCGGCTGGAAACATGCGCCGATGTTAAGTTGTAGCTAGTGGAGCCCCTGCCTTACCGCTCGGACACTCGACTCGCCCTTTATATATTATATATTAGAAATGTCTTGAAATATGCTTTACTTTCACCGATATTTTAGGTAATTTAAAGCTTGGTAGGTAACACATTTTTGGAATGAATGTCTTTTTTTTAATGAAAAGTTAATTTGACTTGATAAATTTCGCAGTACATTTAAAGCTAATAACTTCTTAAATACAAAAATATTAATTTTTATTCATTAGACAATTTGCTGTTGTATTGAATGACAACAAGTTGTACCGTAATATCTGTAATAATATAAACCTAATATTTATGATGAATTCTATTTAAAATTCAGTGCAAAGTAAGCAAAAAAATTTAAAAAAATGAATTAATAGTCTTAAAATATAAATAATATGAATTATTAAATAGGACCAAAACGTAATAGGCCTATTAATAATAGTAAACGTGGTAGCAACTCTTCACTCAAACAGCTAACGTTTCGCTTTAATAACAAATAGCTAAGGGAATTGTTCAGAAATTAATGTACATCACGATAAATTTATAGACTGTAAAATGTTTGAAATTATTCATTTCACGGTGTGAGTCTTCTTCACTTTCATTTCAATCGGACCAAATGGCTTTGTATGTGTGCCGACAATTAATTGAATTTTAATTTTTTCTTGAGAAAACGGTGTGATGAAACATTTGGTTTAATATAGACGATACCTCATTATCCATATTCTGAAATTTGTGTTAAAGCAGCTACAGTTGCTTATCTAAAGTCTACAAACAAATGTTATTGTAAGATTTTTTTTTAAATACGAATGATGTTTCCCTACCTGACCTGTTATCGTACTAAACGCTCGGGTACGTTCCCAAGAATCTCGCAAGTGATTCGGGTGGAAATCGAACTACCACCTCTAGAAAACTAGCTTGTTGTCTTAACCACTCGACCACCAGGCTTACCCTTGGTGGTTGGTAAATGAATCCGATCCCCAAGTACAGCGGGTACTGCAATGATATTCCGATGGGGTTTTTTTCGTCAGGAGAAATAACAATACGAACGATGTTTGCCCACATGACGTGTTATCGTACCGAATGCTCAGTACATTCCCAATTACCTGCAAAAAAAATAAAATAAATAAAAATTAAATTAAAATAAAAGACTATTAATTCATTTTTTTTTTTATTATTTTGCTTTTTTGCTTACTTTGCACTGAATTTTTATTTATATAAGTAATAAACAGTATTGTATTGATATATCTATCAGCACAGCGATTACACTCTCATTCAATCAAAATACGCACCGTATTTGATAATGAAATTAGAATGGTTTTGTTGAACTTTGCCAAAAGCATTTAAATAAATTAATTTGACACGTTAACGTCTTTAATAGCGAAATTAATAATAATAGGCTAATAGAAGAACCTCTATCACCTTTTCCGCGAAACGAGAGAAAATATATTTTTTTAAACTACGGAAACTTCTTTAAAAGAACAAGTTTTGTTTTTGCGGACGGAAAACACTTCTGGAGTCTGTCAAATGGTTAATTATTTTTTTCTTTATTGATATTTAATGGGAATGTCCAACCATCAACACCGGGTTTCAGGGGAGAATTTTTGTCTTGATTTCTGAAATGAATGCGCCTATAAAGCGTTAATATGTCTTTTTGCTTTGGAAATTGATGAAATTCTTCATCAGGCATCTGTTACTCGTTTTTGTACAAATGCCAATTTTGTTAATTTTGGCTCCTAGGTCATGGAAGTGCCTTTTCCTTGTCCAAGTTAAACACAGTAATTCCATAATATGGGATCAGGCTTTAAGGCCAACTCAGACAGCGTCGGCCAACGCAGCCCGACCCGATTTATCGTCGGAGACAGTCTTAAGCCGTCGTGAGAAATATTAAACACGTTTAATATTCTACTACGCGACTGCCCCCGACGCACACCATCGCGTCTGCGTTCAACTCACACAGACCCGACGCGAAAACAAATCGCGTCGGGCTGCGTCGGCCGACACTGTCTGAGTTGGCCTTTAAATGCATAGGCTGCACCCTGATTTCTAAATCTTAACTCTATTCATGTCATCTTGTGCATCCAAGAAATCTCAATATGTATAAAAAGAGTAAAGTCATGCCCGATGGCACTTTAATTCTTCTTGCGTATGACGGGCAGGACCAAACCTAAAGTGACTACTTCTTAGGTTTTTTATTTATTTATTTATTTTATTTTCTAATTTTTATTTTAAAAAATGTAAATACTTTTAGTAAGCACGTCAATCATAAAACAATATAAGTTTTACTGTTTAAAATACAACTTATGTTGATTTTGTCCGAAAATGTAATGCATTTAAATTGAAAGTTATATTGTTTGATTATCAGACAACTTAATCACGGAACATAAAAATGGTAGGGGGCTTAGGAGCTGTTTCGTATTGTCATGAGTAGGTATTCCATCTTTTGAAAATGCAAAGAGAAGAAGGTCCATTACACATTTCACAGGGTAGAGTATTTACAAACGCTGGTGCTTTGTGAATAAAGCTGTCCCTGAGGGTCTCTTTTTGGGAAAGAGGAGTAACAAAATGGACTGACGCTTTATTATAGAGACAAAGGAATCATGATAAGAAGTTGTTGAGCAAGAGACATTATAGCCTTAATGTATACTTCTGTGTTAGACATTCTTCTATAGAGTTGGCCTTTGCCTGACATAGTACGCTCCCCGTGTGTCGCTGTTTATTGTGCTAGGCATAGGCCTACTAATATGAGTGCATTTACAGTTGCATCCTTGGATTGAGCAGTGGCTTGAGTAATGATAAAGGGTGTGGGGGAGGCTTTGCACGTCCTCCAAAAAGCCTGCCGCCACCATGCAACCCCGCCTCATGTGAATACCCCGAGATACATATACGCCATAGGTACCGAGAAGATAAAAAATGTATAAACGGCAGGTTAGTTTGTTGAAATTATCCTAATTTCGTTTCTGTTCACTTGGCTTAGATGTCGTCATAAACGATGCATTGGCACCATTACAGAACATATGCCTATATCCTGTAGTCCTATGAAACGGGGGACGATTTTCAGCGATTTTAATTTAAATGCATTAAGCTACAATTGAAGACAAACTTTATTATTATTTATTCGATAACGATGACAATTCATATTCTTTTTTTTTTATAACTGCAGGTTCCTCATGGGACCATATAAATTGTACATTTTAACAAATAAGCACTACCGGTACTAATGATAAATGAACATCGATCTTTACTCTTATTCGCTATGAATGTCACTCGAGCGAAAACCGTGTCTGATATACCCACATGCGTCATAAATATTTAGGATAATCAGATTGCGTATTTTTGATAATTACAAATTATCGGTGATTATATAATTATGATTATATAAAATTTTGTATCAAAACTCATAATTTCACACAGAATTAATTTGGAAAAAAGCGACCCTATTTTTGGTTTGTCGGAATTGGACAATACAAACTTGTTTTTTGTTTAATATTGGAATGTAAAAAATATATTTTAGAAACATTAAAGGTGCACAGACATCTATGGCATATGATCCTGGTTCTTAATTACTTTGTTTGAAGGGCCAAATTATTTTAGAGTTGATCTCCGCCGAGCAATAGTTTTTTCCTCACGGGCCAAATGAAATTGCCTTGTGTTCCGCCTGTTAAGAACCAGGGACATGTAACGTCAAGAGCATATGAAAATGATAACTTTAATTATTACAAATTACATTGTTTTGGCTGAATATACAAAATGGATGGGAAGCGCTGCGTCATAGTCCCTCCCACCTCCAACTACCGTCACGTGTAGTCCTCTTCCGCCCTTACCTCATTGTCGATTGTCGCTGGCATCGGGAAATAATTGAATGCCAGATGGGTCCTGTGTGCCACTTGATATTTCTTTTAGTTTTACACCCCAATACCTTTTAAAAATGTGCTCGTTTCATTTTGGTATTAAATACTTAAACAAATTTATATCATACGAGCTTTTAATAATTGCGTGTTTGGTGGACCTTGAATAGAATACATGATTTTATGTAGACCTAGCTCTGTTGTCGGATATTTGGGTCACTTAATATTTCGAATATTGAGCATGTGCGGATTTTCGTCAAATTTTACCATGAGGTCTATTTGTCAGACTGAACCGAAAACGTTTGATGGGTGGGTCTGCTTCACAGCCCACTGCTTCCTTCACCTATGTTAGCTCCTGTCTAAGAGAGAACACAAACTAGC